CCGAGACATCACTTCACTTTCCCTTCTGTCAGCCACCTGATCGCTTGTGAAGATGAGCAACTGGGCTATGTTGACAGGAGCTGCATTGCGGCTGGAAGTGCACGTATAGCCACTCATGAGTGGTCTGAGCTTGTAAGTTGCTCGGAGCGTTTTGTCCCCACCCCCGTAATGGCCACCGCAATGGTCGCAGTACCGCCTCTCATATCATGATGAGGGCAGGCTGCGGCCGCACCTGCAAATGTTCTGGGCTTAGGGGAGGGACGGATGAGGAAGAATGGGTTGCACTGAAGGGCTAGGGAGGGAATGGGGAGGTGGGATAAGCTGTAATTTTTGCATAGATGAAGGGGAGTGGTTCTGTGAACCTGCACTCACCCCTGCTGGTAACATTTCAATATTTTTAGTAGTTGATACAGTCTTTTCACATTTTCTCTGCTTCTGGATTCTCAGTATCCCTTAATAAAGCTGTCACAATGTATAAATTTGATCAATTGAAGTTGTAAATTGTATTTTGTGAATTAATTTGTCCAATTGTCCCTGGAGCTCTTCTAGAGTGTGGCCATTCAAAATTGTGGCCCAACTGTCACCTCCACTATGCATTTTCCCAGGTGGTAAGTAATGTTTTGAACTAGAACTTATCTGTAATGGAGTCATGGCTTCACTAAAAGTGCTACAGGTAGTATTGATCAAAATGTTTTAAGAGCTTTATCTTGGCCATTCTATAATTTTGGAAATTTTTTAACATTTATAGGAATGGAAAGGAATATCCATGAAATTAAGTTTTAAGGTGAAAAGCAAGCAACGAGCTCCCATAATAATATTTTGATTTTACAATAGGTACTCCAGGCTTCAAGGAACACCCTGGTCAGCATACCAATATATATATATATATAGCATCTATATTTAGTTGTTATGGTACCTGCGTGCCTCCAATGCTGGTTCTGCAGTTCCACCAGTGGTAACTGGCTTCTGAAATTGAGTTTCTGGAAACATGGAGTAAAGTCTGGCAAGGGCACCACTTATTGACTAGAGCGGTCAGCTGATGCTCTAAGGCAAACAGTAGCTCCACATTCATAAAGATGGTATGTACCTTTTTTTAGGAATGGGGAACTACTGACTGCTTTAGCAAATCCGTCACTGGAAGCAACCTATTGCATTAAACCATTTGAGCGCATGGGGGCCTCCTGGTACCATAACTACTTAATTTATAGGACCCAAGTGTTCTTTTAATTATTTAGGGTTTTAAGGTTAATCTAATAAGACTATTTATCATATTGGTATCTCCTAAGGTGACTAGCTTATCTCAAGAAGCTCTGATGAGATCAAGCATCTTCTCATTGAACAATAATGAGTTCTTGGCAGTAGGTATAGAAAAATATACAATATCACTCAGATCCCTTGGTTGGTTCGGGAACACAATTCGAATTAAGTTTTGACCAGTCAGCCACGAGGTGATGTCCCAAAACAGTTCCAGAGAAAACAAGGCAAGGAGTGGTCATCTTTCGGGGGTACTCACACGAACACAGATGAATCTATCGCGTGGGTGTTCGGGTACAAATGCTCCCCCTGTTCGGTAGTTTATTCCTCCCGAACACCATTCTCCTAACTGTTCGGGAAGTTGGATGGGCAGCGGTCCTTGTTTCCCGGGTGTTCGTGGGATTGTGTATCTGAAAACAAATCCCCGCTGTCGACTACCATGTACCGATCCCAGCGTTGGGGAGACAAAATGACCGCTAATTGTTTGAACACGTGCATTTGGTTTTACGAACGGTGGCCACACAGGGGAACACTTGAACTAATAACAAATTTATGGTTAACACCCAGGGGCGGTTAGTTTTTAAAAGTTGCGATGTGTATATATTCAGCAGTCTTCAGCAGTCTTTGTGTATGTGTATTCAGCAGCCTATAGAAACATAGAAACATAGAATGTGACGGCAGATTCGGCCCATCTAGTCTGCCCAATTTTCTAAATACTTTCATTAGTCCCTAGCCTTTTCTTATAGTTAGGATAGCCTTATGCCTATCCCACGCATGCTTAAACTCCTTACAGTGTTAACCTCTACCACTTCAGCTGGAAGGTTATTCCATGCATCCACTACCCTCTCAATAAAGTAATACTTCCTGATATTATTTTTAAACCTTTGTCCCTCTAATTTAAGACTATGTCCTCTTGTTGTGGTAGTTTTTCTTCTTTTAAATATAGTCTCCTCCTTTACTGTGTTGATTCCCTTTATGTATTTAAATGTTTCTATCATATCCCCCCTGTTTCTATCATATCTTAGTATCATCAGCAAAAAGACATACCTTACCATCAAGACCTTCTGCAATATCACTAATAAAAATATTAAAGAGAATGGGTCCAAGTACAGATCCCTGAGGTACCCCACTGGTGACAAGTCCAAGCTTCGAATATATTCCATTAACTAAAACCCTCTGTTGCCTGTCACTCAAGCCTTCAATGTGCAACAGTGTCAAAAGCCTTACTGAAATCTAGGTAAGCAATGTCTACTGCACCACCCTGATCTATAATTTTAGCTACCCAATCAAAAAAATCAATAAGATTAGTTTGGCATGATCTCCCTGAAGTAAACCCATGTTGTCTCTGATCTTGAAATACATGAGTTTTTAGATGTTCATCAATCCTATCCTTTAACATTGTTTCCATCACTTTCCCCAGTAAGGCTTACTTCCCTGAAGTAAGGCTTACTGGCCAATAGTTGCCCGACTCCTCCCTATTACCTTTCTTGTAAATGGGCACAACATTCGCTAACTTCCAATCTTCTGGGACTACTCCTGTTAACAATGATTGGTTAAATAAATCTGTAAATGGTTTTGCTAGTACACACTAAGCTCTTTTAATAGCTTTGGGTGTATTCCATCAGGTCCCATTGACTTATTTGTCTTTACTTTTGACAGTTGAAATAGAACCTCTTCCTCTAAACTCACGTGTAATAAATGACTCATTTGTCCTTTTTCTCAACTGAGGTCCCTTTCCTTCATTTTCATCTGTAAATACAGAACAAAAATATTCATTGAGGCAGTCAGCTAGACCTTTATCCTCTTCTACATACCTTCCTTCTTTTGTTTTTAATCTAACTAATCCTTGTTTTACTTTTCTTTTCTCATTTATGTATCTAAAAAACATTTTATCCCCCTTTTTTACTGACTGTGCTATTTTCTCTTCTGTGTGTGATTTGAAGCTCTTATAACTTGCTTAGCCTCTTTCTGCCTAATCTTATAGATCATTTTGTCTTCCTCACTCATTTTTCATAATTCCTAAATGTTAACTTTTTGTTTTTAACTATTTTGGCCACATCTGCGGAGTACCACAGTGGTTTCTTGAATTTTTTGCTTTTACTGACAAGCCTAATGCAATTTTCTGTTGCCTTCAATAGTGCAACTTTTAAATAATCCCATTTCTCTTGGACTCCATTTAAATTGCTCCAGTCTGATAATGACTCCTCTACCCATATTCTAATTTTAGAAAAGTCTGTTTTTCTAAAGTCTAAAACTTTTGTTTTTGTGTGGTGTGACTCAGTCACTGTTCTTATATTAAACCACACTGACTGATGATCACTGGATCCTAAACTTTCACCTATAGTAATATCTGATACCAAATCTCCATTTGTTAACACTAAATCTAGTATGGCCTCTTTACGAGTTGGCTCCTCAACAACTTGTTTTAGAGACAATCCCAGTAGGGAGTTTAGAATATGTGTGCTCCTGGCACAAGTAGCTAATTTTGTTTTCCAATTTACATCAGGAAGATTAAAGTCACCCATGATGATAACTTCCCCCTTCATTGTCATTTTAGCTATTTCCTCAACTAGTAGATTATCTAACTCTTCAATTTGTCCTGGGGGCCTATAAATCACATCTACATGAGTTACTGTGTGATTACCAAATTCTAACGTAACCCAAACGGACTCTATGTTTGCCTCACTTACTTTTATTAGGCTAGATTTTATGCTATCCTTCACATACAAGGCCACCCCTCCCCCTTTCTTGCTTTCCCTATCTTTCCTATATAAAGAGTACCCTGGTATTGCTATGTCCCAGTCATTTTTCTCATTGTACCATGTCTCAGTAACAGCGACTAAATCTACACTATCAGTTGCCATTATTGCCACAAGTTCATGGATCTTATTCCCTAAACTGCGAGCATTTGTAGACATGACTCTAAGCTTATAATTTTTAACACACTTGCTACAGGCACCTTCTGTCCTTGTTTTGGGGGACAATTGGATTGATGTTTTATCACCCTCTTGCCCCCCCCCCCAGTTTAAATACATCCTAGCAAAACCTCTGCACTGCTCACTGAGAACATTTGTTCCCTTTTGAGAAAGATGCAAACCATCTTTTTTGTACAGCTTATTTCCATTCCAAACAGAGCTACCATGAGAAGTAAAGCCAAATCCTTGCTCCCGACACCATTCACCAAGCCACAAATTAAAGTCCCTAATACGCATCCGCCTGTCGTTCTGAGTGTTATGCACAGGCAGAACTTCAGAGAATGACAGTGTGGAAGCAACCTGCCGTATATCATTGGCAAAAACACTAAAAACTTCCTTAACCTCTGAAACCTCATTGCAAGCCAAGTCATTTGTCCCTAGATGGACAAGTACATCCAATTCCCCTTCCTGGTTTGCTTGCTTAACAATATTACAGATACGTCTCCTGTCTCTGTGAGCAGTAGCTCCAGGAAGACACCTCACAAGACCACCATTGTGCATAATGTAATCCCCCAACAACATTGTGCACCTCGTATAATGTAATCCCCCAACAACAACTGCTTTCTATTAGGCCTCACCATAATCTCCAAGCCGGTCTCCACAACACCACTAGCCTCAGTGCCCCTCTCCACAACACCACTAGCCTCAGTGCCTCTCTCCACAACACCACAAGCCTCAGTTCCTCTCTCCACAATACCACTTGCCTCAGTGCCTCTCTCCACAATACCACTAGCCTCAGTGCCTCTCTCCACAACACCATTACACTCTGAAAGTGCAGAAAATGAATTATGAAGAGCAACAGACTGTGCAAAATGCCTTTTATCCACAACTCTAAGTCTACCAGATCCTACAGTAATCCATCTGCCATTCCTTGTATGTCTCTGCGGCAGTGGCTTTGCAGCAGTCCCAGTCTGAGTTTGTTCACCAGATAATTTACAAATCTCAGACTTCAAAAATACAATCTCCTGCCGCAAGATAGAGAACTGTCTACAGATTAGACAATCACCAAACCTCCAAAAAGTGGAACGTGAAACAAATGCATAGCAACTATTACACTGAACTAAGTCTGCCATTCCAATGAGGAGAATAATTTAAATCAAACAAATCTTAACTTTTTATTTATCCTCCTGAATACCTCAGATTACCTCCAAGTTATCTCCAGAATATCTCCAACTACACACTTAGAAACAGCACTCTCCAGAATATCTCCAAATACACACTTAGAAACAGCACTCTCCAGAATATCTCCAACTACACACTTAGAAACAGCACTTAGAAGTAGCAACTATGTGTGTGTATGCAACAGTCTGTGTCTGTATTCCGCAGTCTGTGCATAGGCGTGCGCATCCTATTGCACCCTAAAGCACAAGCCCACGCCGCGTATACAGTTGCAAGAAAAAGTATGTGAACCCTTTGGAATGATATGGATTTCTGCACAAATTGGTCATAAAATGTGATCTGATCATCATCTAAGTCACAACAATAGACAATCACAGTCTGCTTAAACTAATAACACGCAAAGAATGAAATGTTGCCATTTTTTTATTGAACACACCATGTAAACATTCACAGTGCAGGTAGAAAAAGTATGTGAACCCTTGGATTTAATAACTGGTTGAGCCTCCTTTGGGAGCAATAACTTCAATCAAACGTTTCCTGTAGTTGCAAATCAGACGTGCACAACGGTCAGGAGTAATTCTTGACCATTCAATCGGGTTGAGGTCAGGACTCTGACTGGGCCACTTCAGAAGGGGTATTTTCTTCTGTTTAAGCCATTCTGTTGTTGATTTACTTCTATGCTTTGGGTCATTGTCCTGTTGCAACACCCATCTTCTGTTGAGCTTCAGCTGGTAGACAGATGGCCTTAAGTTCTCCTGCAAAATGTCTTGATAAACTTGGGAATTAATTTTTCCTTTGATGATAGCAATCCGTCCAGGCCCTGACGCATCTCGCGAGAGGAACCCGGCGGAGCTGCCGGCAATAGCTCCCCGGAAACCTCTCCTACCTCCCTCCCTGCCTGTGGGTCAGTCGGGAGGGATGCTGAGAGCAGAGCCGGTGCTCGGATAGCGCCGGCTCTGCATAAGCCAACAGGGGAGATCCTGAGATCTCCCCTGCCGGTCTCTATACATAAGCGTGCCGCAGGGATTAGGGTGTGCCCATGCACACCTGGCACATCCCGTGCACACTCCTATGTGTCTGTGTATTTATTTTGCAGTCTGTGTGTCTGTATTCTGCAGTCTGCTGAATACACACACACACAAACTGCTGAATAAACAAACTGCTGAATACACAGAAAAACTGCTGAATACACACAGACAGACTGCTGCATACACAAAGACAGATGGCTGAATACACACATATAGACAGCTAAATACACACACAGACTGCTGAATACCTACAGACTGCTGAACACACACTCAGAGGCTGCTGAATACACTCACATAGACAGCTGATTACACAGACTGCTGAATACATACAGACTGCTGAACACACACACACACACTCACAGACTGCTGAATACACACACAGACATATTGCAGAGAGGGGTGCAGTGTGTATGTGCAGTGCAGTGAGTGCGGAGAGGGTGCAGTGTGGGTGGTGCAGTGTGTGTATTTGGGGGTTCAGTGTGTGTAGGGGCTCAGTGTGTGCAGGGGGGCGTATGTGTGTGGGGTTGCAGTGTGTGTGGGGTTTGTTTAGTGTGCGTAAGAGGTGCAGTGTGTGTGTTTGTGGAGAGGTGCAGTGTGTGTATGGGTTCAGCGTGTGTGTGGGTGGGTGCAGTGTGTATGTGTGAAGGGGTTCAGTGAATGGGAAGTGCTGTTTGTATGGGTTCAGTGTGTGTGTAGGAGTGCAGTGTGTGTATGGAAGAGGTGCTGTGTGTGTGTGTGTGTGTGGAGGAGGGGCCTCAGCTTGAGTTTCTATATGCATTATCAAGCAGTAGCTGCTCTCCTGGGTTTTTAAGTAGGAGCTCCTTAAAATAACAAAATAAAAAAAATTGTAGATGTGCATTATTAACTTCAGAACATTATCATCAAGAAGTAGTAAAAGACCTGAAGTATAAGAGAATCTCTGGGGACCCAACTTCATACCCTGACTATGCTTGATCATATCGGAGTCTGAGTAAGTGCTGAGCCTGTGTGTGTGTGTATATGTATGTGTGTGTGTGTGGGGGTACTAACCAGTGCATACTGGGAACACCCCACAAGACTTGACATTTTGGAGATGTTCGGACCCATTTGTCTAGCCATCACTTTTTGATCCTTGTCAAAGTCACTCTGATCTTCCCCATTTTTTTTTGAGGGGGGGGCGATAAGGGAGAAATATATGGGGGGGGGGCGATAAGGGAGCAATATATCAAAAAACAAACAAAAACATTTTATATTACCCCCCTCCTTCTTACCTTTGGCCAGGGAGGGTGGGAGGGGGGGCAACTTTTCAATCCCTGGGGCTCCTCTGGCTGCAGGCTGACTATTCTCTCCTCCTGCGAGTACAGGGCTATGTTGGAGCAGTGCCATGGTAATGCTTGGCAACATTCCAACCTGCCTGCTCATGGGAGGAGCCTTCTGCCTCCCCAGACCCGGCTCCAGACCTCCCTCTGCAGCAACAAACTGATTTGGGCCCGGTGAGGGAGATTTTTAATCTCCCTCACCGGCCCAAGAAGGCAGATCATGGGGCATTCAAAAACTGTTTATGCATCCTGAGAAAATTTCTCGGGACGCTCGGTCAAATCAGCAACAGCTGGGACTATCTCGGTAAAACTGGCGGGACATCTGGTCACTCTGCTCATGCTGCCAGAACAGCTCTAATGCATTGAGAAATGGACTCCTTAAGCCATATGTGATATCTGGCACCACGACAATGTTTAAGTTCTGCAAGGTGGGGCATCCTTGGATCGGATTTGTTGTTCCAGCAC